TATATATATATATATATATATATATACATACCATATATATATATATATATATATATATATATATATATCCTCTATATATATATATATATATATATATATATATATATATATATATATATATATATATATATATATATATATATATATATATATATATATATATATATATATATATATATATATATATATATATATATATATATATATATATATATATATATATATATATATATATATATATATATATATATATATATATATATATATATATATATATATATATATATATATATATATATATATATATATATATATATATATATATATATATATATATATATATATATATATATAGAGATATATATACATATATATATATACATATATATATATATATATATATATATAGAGAGAGAGAGAGAGGATAGAGAGAGAGAGAGAGAGATAGAGCTCTATATATATATATGTAGATATATATGATATGTATATATATATATATATATATATATATATATATATATATATATATATATATATATATATATATAATGTGATTCTATATTGATATTCGCATCTTCCTTTTAAGGTGTATGGCTGGGGCAGAGGTGAGCATGGCAGGCTTGGATTTGGAGACGACAAGAGCAGCAAAATGGTTCCTCAAAGGGTTCAACTTCTTGTAGGCGACGGAAATCGTGCAGGTGTGCTACATTTATTTAATTCACTATTCTCATACAAGCGTATTTCGTCGCTGTTGCATGAATTTCTTATTACATTAGTTACTTGCAACAAACCTCAACACTGCGTAAAACATAGAGCGTCCCTGAATTTTCCAGACAAGAATTCAAGTTCATTGAATGTATCCATCCGGTGGTAATAAAATCCCGTAAAAAATAGCGAGCAAATAATTCCTGTTAAATATTTATAATATTTTGTAGCTGTTATGTGATGAACTTTGTCGTTTCCACTTCTATTGATGCTTTCCCTCCTCTCGAGTATTCTTTCTAGCCGTTGGTCGTTTATGACTAGCAATTACGAATTTCTGGTAAATGTGAAAGACGAGTCCAGTTATTAGTTTCTCTTATTCGTGTGCAGGTTTCTTGTGGAGGCACTCACTCCGTTGCATTTACACGAGATGGCCGCATATACTCGGTGAGTGCTCTCTTCTCTCTCTCTCTCTCTCTCTCTCTCTCTCTCTCTCTCTCTCTCTCTCTCTCTCTCTCTCTCAAATTGAACATACACTATAAGAATAAATGGTCTTTCCTCGTTATATTTTGCAACCGTTTCCATGCTTCTGTATGTTTAACTTTTTTAAAACTATTTCGTCAAGTTTTTCGGAACTTTTCCCCTCTCTCTCTCTCTCTCTCTCTCTCTCTCTCTCTCTCTCTCTCTCTCTCTCTCTCTCTCTCTCTCTCTCTCTCTCTCTCTCTCTCTCTCTCTCTCTCTCTCAAATTGAACATACACTGTAAGAATAAATGGTCTTTCCTCGTTATATTTTGCAACCGTTTCCATGCTTCTGTATGTTTATTTTGTTTTAAACTATTTCGTCAAGTTTTTCGGAACTTTTCTGTGAATCCAAAAAGTAACACATAAGAACCGCCGACCATATATTTTTTATATTCTCGAGATTTTCATTTTTATTTCTATCGAATTGTTTAAATATTATTGGTAGTTTGGAAGAGGGGACCATGGTCGTTTAGGGTATGGAAGAAAGCAGACGACAGGTCATCCAGCAGAAGTGCCCATAAACATCCCACCTCCAAAGGATTTTACTGAAAGCAGCGCTGCAGAAGGGCGTTGGTGCTCTACGCTCGTTGCGTGTGGGGGCCGCCATACATTGGCGGTTATGGAATGGCGTGGTCATGAATCGGAGCAGCTCTTATAAACTTTGGACAACGAAAGCAGCCCTCTAGAAAAATCAAAGGTTGGAGGGACTTGGATTCATTTTGCAAGTAGTTAGCTTATGTTGTTTATGTTCTCTTGCAAGAGTCTGTCTGAATGTTAATTTAGACAAAGCAAACTGAGGATTGCAGTTTGTAACTTTCGAACTTTTATTACGTTAAATTTTCGAACTTTTAGTAAAATCTTATCCACTTCATCAACACACACACATGTATATCGTTTCGAGAAATCATTTGGAGCATGTGACAGAATCGACATTCATGACTTTATAGCTAGGCAGCAAAATATCCTCGATTTTTTTTGTTTTTGAGAAGTGGTCCTTGAATTCACACACGCAAAAAGTGCCAATTTCACCGAGTATATATATTATGACTTGAGCCACAAAAGAAAAAGAAAAAGAAAAAACCCGAAAAAAGAAAAAGAAAATTAAGTTTGACAAGTGATTGTCTAGTTTGAAATGCTACTAGCCATTATAAGTTGGTCCGTATCTGCTGCTAAAAATGCCGGCGTGCAGAAGCAGCAAATACAACAGCTGGCTCACTCCCGATATTGCGATAAATGCCTCCAATGTTTGCTGCAATGTTTTTTTACACTATTCATTCGTAGATACTAAATACGAAAAAATAAATAAAATAGTAATGCAATGTATGTCTAATTACCAATCGTTTGCCCCTATGTCCTCCCATTGTGATCTGCTTGCAAACAAGCCTGTATCGAGGATAGATATATATCATGAAAGATTTGATTAAATGACGAGGGACAAAAAAGAAAAGTTGGGAAATTGCAAGTACCCGAAAGCAAGTGCAGTTACAGCCCATGAAATAATTGCTGACGTGGCAGCGCTAGCAAGAGTCGTATTATTCCATACACGAAGATGGGCGAAACCCAAAATCACAGAGCAAAGACCTATTATCCCCGCAATCAGTGCGTATACGAGTAGGAAGACCGTCGACGGGTTTCCGCCCAAATCTGGTGTAAATTAAATAGAGAGTGTCATAATAATTCATAACATAACTATTATGAATAATTAATCTATTTCTATTAATAATTACATCTATATATAAAAGTACATGCATGCTGAATTTTACAAACAAGAGAGACGACCACGGTTATGTTTCAAAATCATCAATGCACGCGCGCGACGTGTATAAAGATAATATCATCAACTTACATATGTCGTGGTATATTTATTTATAATTTTACAATAATAATAAGAACAAAACACTAGTGTACTACACTTTATCCACACAACTTTTGTCATTGATAAGCAATCTCCCCAAGGTCCCACTACGAAGTTTCAACGTGTTTTATCCTTCACGTTTTCGCAAGAAATTTTGCGAAGAGAATAGCAATTATAATCCTTTTTTGTGGTGTTATGATTTTAACATGAATTTGTCTATATGTATGAGAAACGTAGTACATATCCTTGATTTTCATGGAGCTAATTAAGAAGATTTTGGAAAAAAAC